GCCCATTTTATTAGCAATTTTTTAAAACTTCTTTTTCAATTTTGAGCTAAACAAAATTTCTTGAAATTAAAATGGCACATTCAAATAAATAATTACACCACGCATGAAATATGAGATCCTTTTTTTTTTCACGGCACGCTGTGCCAAATGAGTGCATGGACAATGCTATTCCCTATATCTCTGGACAAGGTAAACCAAGAGGCTTCAAACAGACCAAACCTCTGTTTGGGCTTGTTATTTTGTACTTCTCAATTCTATTTGATGTCCTGACAAAACAAGATGACACCGGGGAGCTGGCATTAAAATTTTATTTTCTTTTTTTCCTGCCCTCTTTCTTGCTTTCTTTCTTTCTTTGCAACCTGTTTTCTGGAGGGAAGTCGTGGCCTAATGGTTAGAGAGTCGGACTCATAACCCAAAAGTTGTGGGTTCGAGTCTCGTACCTGCAGGGATTGTAGGTGGGGGGAGTGAATGTACAGCGCTCTCTCCCACCTTCAATACCACGACTGAGGTGCCCTTGAGCAAGGCACCGAACCCCCAACTGCTCCCCGGGCACCGCAGCATAAATGGCTGCCCTCTGCCGTTTATAGTGTGTTCACTGCTGTGTGTGTGCACTTTGGATGGGTAAATGCAGAGCACTAATTCCGAGTATGGGTCACCATACTTGGCCACATGTCATGTCACTTTCCGTGCGGCCAGTTCAATGTGTGAGACGCTCTGATTGAAGTTGCCCCCCTTCACTCTTCATCTTAATTGCCTAGCTCTCTTTCCCCCTCTCTCTCGTTCTCTCCGTGCATGACATTTTGCTCTCTCAGGAAGAATGCGTTCTTCATTAAGTCAGTATCAGTGTTTCTGAGGTTCGTCAGATGTGTGTCAGATGGTTCCTCGTTAGAGCCGTATTTTTGGGTGCCGTTTCCTTCTCATAGTCATACTGAAGACGAACTGGACTGTGGATTTGAGCGCCAGGCTCAAACGAGCTGGATCCACAGCTGCGTCTAGTACGCTCGATCTCCCAGCTGGCATCATTCTGTTGTTGTATATATTGAGATTGAACACCTTCGAGTTAAATAAAATTTAATGATACATTTTATGCCCATAAATTTTACAGTTTTATGTGCAATTGAAGAAGCAAAGTTATTAACGGATGTATATTTTGCGTAATTATTTTTATTTTTGTATTATTGTTTTATGTTATAACATTTTGTACAATTTTTTACATTTACTTATTTTACCCTTTTTTCCATTTACTTTTTGTTACGTTTATCTATTTATGTTTGTTTTTGTTTTTATGTTTACTTTTTTAGGTTTATGTTTTAAAAATTACATTTATGTTTGCCTTTTTAATGTGTGTGTTTTTTTGTTTGTTTGTTTTTGTTTTTTACATGTAACGATTTCTTAACATTTTTGGTATTTCATATTTTTAAAAAGTGAGTTTCAGGCTTGCTTATTCATTTTTGCAAATTGCAGATGTTTGCATGTGTTGGCATGTAAATGTTGTGTGTGTGTGTGTGTGTGTGTGTGTGTGTGTGTGTGTGTGTGTGTGTGTGTGTGTGTGTGTGTGTGTG